CTCCTTAAAATCCCTGTGGGGGGGGGGGGGGGGGGCTCGCCTGCGCCCTCGACCCGCGAGAGCCGGTGCCGTCCTGCCCTCGAACACGCGACGGGGGGCGCCCTCCTGCCGCAAGCGGCGGCTGGCCGCCACCTCAAAGGAGCCTCTGGCACGCAAACACGCTCGCCTGAAGGGGGGGGCGGTGCAGGGGGGAGAAGATGAGGGCGTCACCGAGCGGGTGGTGCTGCCGGAATGTTGGCGGGCGGGGCGTGGATGCACCTAAAAATACGATCGAGTAGCGGGAAGACCGCCCGCTACTCCGGCGGGAGAGTGCTCCCCCGCCGCCCCCTGGGTCACCCCGAGTGACCTCGCAGCCCACGCCGTGAGGCGCTGCTGTCGGGGGGAAAGTTGGGGCGCGTGCGAAGCCGCTGGGACGGCCAGGAGCCCAGGAGCGGCCGGAGCCGGCGGGCGCCGCTGCCGTCGCCCAGCTGGCCCGCTCTGCAAGCAGCCCGTTCCTGGGTCTCATTGGGGCTGGGTTCGAAGAGGATCACGAGGAGGGCGATGACGAGCACCTACGTGTCGCTGGCGTGGTCGTTGCCGGACTCGACGAACCTCTCGCCCGTGGAGGTGATGGCAGGCAGAAGTTTTTCTCCTGCGTAGGCGCGCGAGCGCGTCAGCGCGCCGAGGGCCACTGCGTGTCACTACACCCGTTGGAGCCGCGCGCACCGGGTCGGCCAGGAAGAGCATCGCCGAGGGAAGCGACGAGCGCTCGGGGAGCACGGGGGAGCGCCGCGTCCGAGACCCAGGTCTGCCCAAGTACCTATCCACCATCCTGGACATGTTCAGGTCCAAGCTGCCATGACCGACTCGGGGTACCCCGCGCGACCCGGGCGACTCGATGGCCGCCTCCGCGGCGGCGGCGTCCGGCGCGCCCGGCTGCAGCTCCATCGCCAGGGCCAAGCAGTCCGGGCCCTGAGGGCCCCAAGCAGTGCAAACATCCATCGCTTCCATGCTTCGAGGAGCGATCTACCGGTTGTCACCGTCATCATAGACGCCGAACGAAAACGCCCCTCAAACGCCTCGAGATTCAGTTTGGGTTTGGGGCTTGGAAAATCAATGTTTTAGTGGACCATATCCCCCCCTAGACAGTAGACTCCAGTGCTTGCACCAGGCTTGCACAGAGTTTGAATGCCGTGGGGCTCCTTCCCGTGTCCCGGGGTGTGGAGATGCGAGGGTCTCCCCCCCTTGCCCCACCACTTTGTGTGTGTGGTCCAAGATAATTTATCTCTGGAGCGCGTTTTTTCGCAAGAATTTAGCTAGCGCCGCGATCCGCCGCCGCGCCGCCGCGTCGCCGCCGCCCGCGCCGCCTGCGCTCGCCGCCGCCTCGCAGACGCCACCTCTCGCGCTCGAAGAGCCGCGCAGCGGGCCGCGAGGTCGAGGTCAAAGAGCAGCCAGGGTGGCGAGGTCATGAAATCATCAAATTTTGAACTTGCCCGAGACAGCCCGGAAACGGTCCCGAGCCGTAGCCCCGGTGTCGGCGCATCGCCTCTCGGCCGCGAAGGGCCGGCTCCGCCGCTCAGTCGAGCAGCAGGAGCTCTGGGGCAGGTTTGTCGACAAACAAGTTGAGCAAAAAATCGGCGAGGAAGCGGCACCAGCGGCACGCCGGGACGAGCCCGGACCGATCCCATTGTTCAGATCCACGGTGGCGAGCCGCCGCAAGCCCACCGGAGAGCCGGGAGCCGCGGCACTAGACCGCGCCGCCAGCGAGGCGAGAGCTGCAGCCGCCGACCAGCCGACAATGGCAGTTGCAAACATGGCAGTTGCGATGGCGCTTTCACATTGATTGATTGATGGGAAGCAAGGCGAAACAGTCCGACCAACGACTGGGACACCAACGCGGTATGGGTGGACGCTAGACGGGCGATGACGGTCACACAGGAGCGACACACAGAACCACAAGACAAGACACTCAGAAAACGTGCGGCTGCCACACATCCTGAGCGAACTCCCTAGTCGCCCGCGGCCGGACTCCATCCGGCACGCGTCGCTGGGCGCTCAGAGCCGCGTCCCCTGCTCGCCACCCCGACGCCAAAGGCGCCCGAGCGAACGACAGGCGGCACGCGAAGACTGGTTGCAATCCCCCGCCGACCGCGAGGCCGCGGGATGATGCGTGCGTGGTCTTGTAGTCGGTCTCGGAAGCTCCCCTCTCGGGCTAGGAGCCAGCCCCTCACCCTTGCCCTCGGAACACTGTGCCCGAGTCGAGGCGTGTGCTTGCCGGTCAACGGCCGCGCGCGGTTGGCATTGTGACGAGGGTTGCGCGCGGCCGCGGCGCGCCCGCCATGGTTCGGCGCGGCGCGCCTACCAGCGGCAATTGTCGAGGCACGGGAACGCTTACCCGGGGTCATCCTCTGAGCCTGGTCGTCGGCGCCGCGATGCCACGGCGGCGCATTCGACGTCGTCGGCGCGCTGCCCCGCGTTGAGCCCCGCCGCTCGTAGCGACGGCCGCAGGTTGGCCCGGTGCAACGCGCCCTGGCCGCAGACTGAAGAACATTTCACACACACCCTCACTCACACTGCGCGCGATATTTTTCTCAGTTCGCTGCACCTTCAGGTCGACGGCTCGCTTGGTCGACCGGCGACAAGCTTTGCTCCGCGATGATCACGATCAAGGCCGTGGTGCCGCCCGCACGCGATGTCATGCTGCGCCTGCGCCACCGGGTATCCCTCTCCGTCGCTGCGCAATGGAGTCGGAACATGAGCAAGGCGTCGGTGGTAGCTTCACCGCCGGCTGGTGAGGCCACTCAGGCGCCAGGCGACTCTTCCAGCGGCAGCCCCACCGGCAGCGGCGATGGCAAGGTCCTCGGCGCGTTCGGCTTCTCTCGGGGCTCAAAGGGATCGGGCCAGTCGCTGATGGGCTCTCGCCACCGCTCGCTCACGTCGGAGCAGCTGCGCGCGCTCGCGGCGGGCGAGTTCGAGATGGACAACGAGCTCGACGGCGGCGACGTGCTCATGGAGGTGCTCGCCGAGGACAGCCGCGGCGGCAACCGGCGCGTCGAGTTTGCCGACGAGGCGCTGCTGGCGGAGGTCACGGACGGTGTCGCGCGGGGCCTGCCGCACCACTTCCCGCAGGAGAATGCGAACGGCGAGAAGCTGCTGCCGCCTCCAAAGGGGCCGCGCGCCGCGCAGCGCCACTACCTGACGCACGAGGGGGTCGGGACAGGGACCGTGTACGAGCGCGAGCGCGCCGCAGCCACCATGCGCCTCGAGCGCGGCATGGAGAGCTCCTTCCGCTACCGGCTGCCGGAGGAGGCGAAGAAGGCGCGGGAGGCGGCGCGCCGATCCCGCGCGCGGATGCGGGAGCACGATATCGTCGAGAGCAGGATTGAGGAGGCCATCGCCGCCGGTGCATTCGACCGGCTGCCCGGCGCAGGCAAGCCGCTCAAGGACGAGAACAACGTCTGGGAGCAGATCTCGGGCGAGGCGATGGCGCATCGCATCCTCAAGAATGCGGGCTGCGCGCCCCCGTGGGTGGAGCAGGGCAAGGCGATCCGGCTGGGCAGGCAGGCGGCGCGGGCGGCACTCGCCAGTGCGGTCGCCGAGCTGGTTGTGTCTCGCGCGTGCCGCGGCCCGAGCGACGGCGACGGCGGCGGCAGCGGTGCGCCTCTTTCAGCCGTGCACGTCGCCTCCGCCGCCGCCGCGCTCGCCGCCGAGGCGCTGCAGACGGCGGCGGAGGTGGGCGGGCGGCGCGGCGGCGCGGCGGCGGCGCGGAGTTGGACGCGGGTGAGGCTGTATGACGAGGGCGCGGAGGGAGCGGAGGCTACCGACGGCGGAGGCGTTGCGACGGCGCAGTCCTCCACGCGGGGCGGGCGGGCTGCCGGCGGGGAGGGGGGGCGGAGCGGCGAGAGGGGCTGGCTGCACGCGCCCGAGGCGGCCGCGGCGGCGAGGGAGGCGGTGGAGGCGGCGGAGGAGGCGGCGGCTGCGGCGGAGGCGGGGGGCGAGGCAGCCGAGGTGGAGGCGGAGGAGGCGTCGAATCGGGCGGTGCGGGCGGCGCTGGCGGTGAGCGCGGGGCGGGTGCGCGAGTTCGACGATGCCTGCCGCGCCTTCGAGGAGCGTCTTGGCGAGCTGAACGCGCAGGTGCGCTCGTACAACCTCGTCGTGCCCGCCGCCACCTCGCAGCTGCTGCAGCTCACGCCAGCTGCCGAGCGGCAGCCGTCTCTAGAAGCGGAACACGCACTCTTGCATTTCCAACCAGCGCTCGAGAGGAGACGCACTCCGCTGTACTCGGCCGTCTTCGGCTGTATTCGCCGTGTTCGCAGCCCCTCGTACTCACGCGGTGCTCTGAGGACGCTGCGCAAGACGCGCCCTGCCGCCCTCATGTCGGCGCACTCACAACGCAGGCAGCGGTCGCTCTCCGAGGTGCCCTCGCGTGCCCTCGAGCTACACGCGCGCCGCGGCAGACGGGCCGAGCTCCCTCCCGCCGCAGCCGCGGGCGGCGCGGTGATGGGTGTCGTGCTCTCTGGCTCGCTGGCGGGCGGCGCGTGGGCTCAGGCGACGCCGGTAGAGCACCCCTTCATTCCACGCCTCGCCCCTTTTTGCGTGGAGTAGCAGGCAGCCTTCATTCGACGATTGGGCCCCCGACCCACGCCCAAGCGACTAGCGACAGGAGACGTGGCTCAAATCCACGCAGGGATTGGGGGGACGAGGCACAGTGAAACGCGCAGAGGCAGAGGGGGGGGGGGAGAGAGAGAACTGTGAACGGCGTCTCATCACAGCAGCGCGTTAACAGGCGGAGCCGGTGCGACACGGGATCCTCTCGTCGCTCGCGTCTGTTCTGTGGCAGAGCTGACCGCTTCTTCGTTCGGGGCCGGCGGGAGGGGGGCCGGCGGGAGGGGGGCGGGGCGGGGGGACAGTGTTGGAAGCGATGGGCGTGCAATGGGTCAGCGGCGGTGCCCTGTGATAGAGCTAGCGAGCGGCCCCCCCTGCTCCTTTTCACACCGAACGCCACCCTCGTCTCAGTGTTTTGGTCTGTGTTCTGCACGGGTTTTGTGAGACGTGGATTGGAGCGTGAGAGGGTGGCGCTCGCTCTCGGTCTCGCCGTCCCTCCGTTTTGTACACTTATCTTTGATTCAAACTCTGGCAGACAGACTAAGTACTCTTGTACTCACACTCAGTGACGTAAAAAAGTATGAACCACTCAGCACTCATCTGCTACAGAGAAACGCCGTCGCCGAAACTTTTGCTCATGTCATCACTTCGCATTTCGAGGCTGGCGCCCGGACAGCCAGCTCGAGCGAGCGCGCCTCGGCCTCACCGGGAAGATACACTGGCGGCTTCGGATCGCCCTCCTCGTCCGCCTGCGCGCGCGAGGCTGGGAGGTTGGCGGCCGTTGTGTGCGCTGCGCGCGGCGGGTTGCGGGGCAGCAGCAAAGGCATGCATCGCACAGATCCCTCCCTCTTCCCCTCACCTGGCTCGCGGTCGGCAGGCGGATGGTGAAACACTCGGTCAAGATTGCGCACACGCGTGCCTTGCCGCAGAGCTGTGCGGACGGATCTCTGCTCGTGTCGCTCTCGTCCTGCTCCGCCTTCGCCGCTCCCGTCGCCACCTCCTTCGATGCCTCCTCTGCTCTCCCCTTGGACAACACCAGCCGCGCCTTTGCGTCGGAGCGACAGCACGCGGGCGGCACCAGGCGCCAGCGACGGTAGGCGCCCAGCTCATCGCCCGTGGCCTGCAGTGCGCCTCCGCGCAGTAGGTACACCTCCCCCGCTGGCCCGATGTACGGGCCAGTCCCCTCGAGCCTCCGCGACAGCTCGTCGGAAGGCGGGGTAACGGGCAGCGACCAGCGATAGTGCACCTCGCCCTCGATCGTAGCATCGAGACGCGCGGTGACTCCGACACACCCGCAGGCAGGCAGCACCCCTTCCCGTAGCTCCCACGGGCTCACGTCCAGGCGCGGTTTGAGCCGCAAGGTAACTCCGCAGACCTCCACGTCGATGGCCCCGCCCCTGCTCGACACCGCCCAGCGCCCTTGGCCCCTTGAGGTGGCGAGGTACCCGTGCGACAAGAAGTAGACTTGCTCGAGGACGATAGGGCGATCGCTCGAGGCTGATCGGTTGCCTCGGATACGCCATGGGCCGGTCCCAATGATCCTCCCGATCGAGGCGTCTCTCCAGGCGCCAAACAGCTCGAGCTTTGGCGCCCACGACGGAGCCTCGTCAGCTTCGGCCACGGCCATGGCGGCAGCGTCGACAGCTGGCGCGCGCAGAGACTGCCACGAGTGCTGCCGCCAGAGCGAGCCATTGTCCGTGGCGTTGCTCCACTGCTTCGAGCGGAGCTTTGCGCTCGCGTTGTTGATCAGGCTAGTGAGGAGGTGGGCGTGACCCGGCGCGCAACGAGGCGGCGGCCACAGCTGGCGCGGTGGGAAGCTTTTGCGGTAGTGCCTCTTGTCGAAGGACCACTCACCGTCGCGGCCCATCGACAGCCCCTCCCTGGAGTAGTCGAGCGGCTGGTCAAAGTGGAGCATGTAGTACGGCATCCGCGGAGCGAATGAGGAGCCCCTCAACCCCATCAAGTCGTCCACGAGGAGCGGCCCCTCGGGACTGGCTGGCATGGCAGCGACGGGCCAAGCCAGCCGGCGGCCGCGGCGGGCCGTGGAGCTCTCGAACTGGAAGGCATCCAGGATGAGGTGGCTGATGCCTAGCTGGGCGGCGGCAATTGCGTAGCCCCAGTACTCGCGCCTCCAGCCCTGGACGGCTCTCGCCAGGGACGGCTCCTGCGCGAACTGGTCCGTAAATTTGAGCCAGAGCGGCGCGAGCTGCCGCAATTGCTCTTTGTGGATCAGCAGCGGCGACGGGCCAACAGGCTGTGTCTTCCTTCCGAGGCCGAGGCCAGGCGCGACCCTGTCGACGAGGTCCGGCTTCTGCTTCATAAAGCTCACGCGAAAGGCAGCCGGCACCGTCTCGCTCGCCAAGTTGGGCAGCGGTCGCAAGAAGACCTGGTCGGGCTCGGCGATCAAGACATAATCCTCGCGCATCTGGTCGAGGTGTCCGCCTTTGATGTACTGCACGATGGCGTCGGGACGGCTGCGCTCCGGGCTAGTTGACTTGGCCGTCACAGTGCTCACCTCTCGTGGGTTGAACCGGAAGCGCTCCTGGCCGAGTATGAGCAACCTGCTCAGGTTTCCCATCTCGGCGCAGGGGTCCTGTGACGCCTGTAGACGCCAGTGGTGGGCCATCACCCTCGTCTGCCACAGCTCGGATTCCCCCGCGGTCACGATGAGCAGAGTGTGGAACGGCCGCCGTGTCAGCCCACACCCACTCTTCGCGTCTACGGGGCCCGGTAGGTGCCCGCCAGAGCAGCCGTAGCAGCGAACGTCGTCGAGAAGTGAGCCCCCGAAAAGCTCACGATCCACCTCGATCCGACGCCGCCGCTCCATCGCTGCCTCCTCGGCCTCCGCTTCCCTCTCTCTCGCTGCATCATCTGCCTCCCTAATCATCAGGGAGCGGTTGAAGGCGTGTCCCTGCCTCGCACGCGAGTCGCTTCTCAGCAAAGCGACGCCGTACACAGGAAGCGGTGTTGCAGTCGGAGGTGGTGGCGTTGCAGCTGGCGGAGCTGGGTTGGGCGCCGCAGCCGGTGGTGGCGTTGCAGCCGCTGCACGCAGAGCACTGGCAGCCTGCGGAGCACCGTTCGAATTCGAGCCTCCTGTCCGGCCAGAAGATAGCGGTGCCGGCACAGGCAGCGGTGGGGATGCAGTGACGTGGCCATCTGCGCCATGCCCGGTGCGGAATGCTCTAACTGCAGACTTGGAGCCAGATATCCCCGTCGAGGCGGGCGATGCCACCAGTGTGAGGAGCGAGAGACATGCGACAATGCCGACAAGCGCAGCCTGCCGCCCCCTGTATCTGCCCACCAATCCGCGGCTTGTTGCGCGGCTACGCCCCATGCATTCTGAGCTAAATGGTTGCCGCAGTACGGCACAAAACGGCGCGATGATTCTACCTAAGTCGGAAAGAATTCTTAAGATACATGCCACGGCGTGCGATCTAGATTCAGCACACGCGCCTCTGCTCGCAACCACTCATCCAATGAACTGTCGTCACCCATGAGTGCGAGTTAGGGCTAGCGGCTGGCCAATAGCCTGTGAGGAGGGCGTCCATAGACACCTCACAAGACCCCACACACGGTCTCGTCCGTGCCTTGCGGCCGGCGACGAGATTGCTAGAGGCGGAGCAAGCCTGCTCTAGTCTCACACGTTCGCCCCTGTCGCCTGTCTGTGTTGTTGTGGTGTTGTTTGTCTCTTAAGCATGGTACACGACGTCGCCCTCGCCATAAATGTAAGTGCTTCCGCCCTCACTCATCCAGCAGTTCTTGCCACACGTCCAAGTGAGGTCGGGGATCATCGGGATGCCGCAGCAGTAGAAACAGACGCACGTGTAGCACATGCAGTGATTGGAAACGCTGGCCTTGCCGGCACATTCCGTCTTGTAGCAGAATCCGGGACCGAGCCACACGCCCTCAAACTTGGTCTTGTCGTACTCTGCCGCCTTCCAGTCGTTTGGGCAGAGCTCACCCCAGGGCGGCGGGTCCTTGTCAATCAGCTCGGGATCCGTCGGAGCCGGCGCTATTCCCGGGGTCGGGTCCGACATGAGGGGAGCGGAGTTGCGCAAAGGCGCCGATTCGGCGCTCAAACTTCACCATGGTCCATCCGGACTTCAGGCTTCAGCCTCTTTGCACTTCGACTGTGCACTTGGCGTTCGACTTTGCACTTGTGTTGTTGTGCTGTTGTTTGTCTCTTGGCACCTTTGAGTGCTGGGGGGGGCGACAGAGGGGACGTGGCCTGAGTGATGTGTACGCCCACTCAGGATGTGTGGCAGCCCGCTGGCTGTGTGTCTTGTGAGCTTGTTTGTGTCTGTGTGTCGCTCGTGCGTGTCGTCATCATCTGTCTTGCGTCCACCCATACCGCGTTGGTGTCCAGTCCGAGCCTGACTGTTCTTCACCTCACTACATACATACATCTCTAAAGATATAAGGGCCTCGCGTCGTCCGCCGTTTATCCCGGTGACCCCCAGAACTCGCGGACCCGAGGAGTCTCGAGCTTCAGCTGGCGATCCATCATGCCGCTCTCGGCACCGCAGCAGCGCGAGCGCCGCGCCGCGCAGCGCGCTGCCGAGGCTCAGGACGCGGCTCGCGGGCAGCGCAACCGCCCGGCGCCGAGCCGGTGCTAGGCCGCCTCCGCTGCGCCTGCTTCCTTGCGCGCCGCTGGACGTCGGCCGAGAAGACCGCTTCCCTCTGGGGACCCGACTCCGCGAAGATCGCGCGCGCGTCGTGAGTGGCGGCGCGCGCGCGATCTCCGTTCCCGGGCACGCCGGTCGCAGTGGCATGGGCTCCCAGGCTCAAAAGCGCTCCCGTCAACAGCGAGCGAGCGCCGCCGCTGCTCCTCCTCCCGCCGCCGCTCACCGAGACTCGGTGCCGCCGTTCTCGCCGCCGCCGCCGCCGCCGCCGCCGCCGCCGCCGCCGCCTCGCGCCTCGCCTCCGTCACCGCCGCCCTCCATCTCGCAGCGGCGCGTCCCTCTGATGGCGCGGGCGCCTCGCTCACCGGCGCCTCGCCGCCGCCCCCCCCCCTTCTCGCGCCGCTCCGCTCGTGGCCGCCGCCTCCCCTGTCAATCCCGCCGCCTCCCCTGTCATCCCGCCGCCCGCACCACCGCCGCCACCGCCTCGCGCCTCGCCGCCGCCGCCACCGACCGCCCTCTCCCCTACGCCGCTCTGAGCGCGGTGCAGGGGGCGAGCCCCCGCGGCGCAGCCTCACCGCAGTGCACTGCGCTCTCCGCGCCCCTGACGATTAGTGAGGAGGTGGTGTTGCACAGCATGGAGCTCGGCGAGCGTTTAGCGAGCCCCTCAGCTAGTAAGTAAGTAAGTGGCAAGTGGATCCTACTTACGTCCCTTTGTCGTCGATCTCGTCGTCGTCGATCTTCGTCGGTGCGCTGCTGCCCGCACACAGTCTGCGCTTCCCACGCGTCTGAGCGAGCTCAACGCGCCAGGCAGCCATGATCCAGGCCGAGAAGCAGGAGAGCGGCAACGCCATGAAGACGCTTCTCGTTGTCACCGCCGCTTTCGGTGCCCGCACCTGAACCACCACGCTGAGCATTCCATCCCCTGATCTCATCCCCCTGATGCATGCCCGCCGGGTGTCCTTCACACTCTCGGGGTGGCAGCGGCCATCTGCTTAGGGTCCTCCGTCCCCTCGGTTTCCACCCCCAAACACTTTCCTCTCGCATGCTTGTGGACGATGCTACCGGTTGCCAGACCCAAACCTGCGGCGGGCAGCATCGCTGCAGGTCGGCGTCGCACGTGGAGGCGGCGGCGAGGCACTGCCGAGGCATGTCTTCGCCGACGGCCAGGGCGGCAGAGAGATGCAGCAGAGAGAGAGGGCGGTGCTAGCGCCAAACTCGCAGCGGGGCCGGGCGGCTGTCGTGCCGGCGGCGGGCGCTCGCAACTTCCGCAGTTTGAATTCTTTTGTTGTAGGTTTGTAGTTGGCAAATCAAGACACAGAGATCACACAGAATCTTGTGATGTTTTGATGGGATTGGAATAGCGCGAAGAATTCTTTGTCAACACCGGTGTGTGTGCCAGTCCGCGCCAGCCTGCGCCCTTGTCGTGCCAGTGTGCTGTGAGAGAGAGGTTAGTAGGAAGGTGAAGAACAGCCAGGCTCGGACTGGACACCAACGCGGTATGGGTGGACGCGCTACATGTAGACAGATGATGACGACACGCACGAGCGACACACAGACAAACATTTCCCCTTTTATTTTGTAAAATGCGTAAATTTCTTTTTCGCGACAACAGACTTGTCATGCGCAGCGCCGCTCTCTCACTCCTCGGCATCACCGTCCTCCTCCTCTTCCTCTCGCACACCTTCTTCTTCCCGGCGCCCGCTGCCGCGCCCGTCGTCCACCCAAAGGTCTCGCTGCTGCACGGTGGGCACATCCCGCCCGAGCCGGACCACAGGACAAAGACGAAGGCGCCTCCGTCGGCGTCACCGGCCGCGGCGAGCGCCGCTGGCACGCCTGCCGCTGCGGATTCGCGTTCCACCCCGCCCACCGTCGGCGCCACCGGCACCGGCGCGCCCGGGCTCGGAGGACACGGCCCGTTTGGCCCCGAGAGCGTGGCGCCGTACATGCCCCACGGCCAGGAGGACCGGCGCTGCGTGCCGCGGCGCGAGCAGGCGCTTCCGTCGCGACCTCTCAACCTGACCGTCCCCGCGGACAGCGCCGAGTGGCCGATCAACTGCGCCAGCTTTGACGGCGCTGCGGAGCTCTGCGCCGCGGTCAAGACCGCGGCGGTGCGGCGCGAGGTGCGGGTCTGGGCGAGCACGGAGCAGCGCCCCTTCACGGCTGGCGGTGTGTGGGCAGGTGCGGCGCGAGGTGATGGTCGGCGTCGCAAACTCCAACGTGCAGGGTCAGCTCGCCAAGTGGATCGAGGCGAACCGGCGCGCCGGCATCTCCAACATGCTCATCGTCGCGATTGACGAGCGGCTGCCGCAGTGGCTCGAGTCGCAGAAGGTGGCCTGCTGGCCCCGGCCCGACAAGGCGCTCGGCTCGCACAAGATCTCCGCCCAAAAGTTCAAGTTTGTGCGCTCCTTCCTCACGGTGGGCGCGTCGGTGCTGATGACGGACATCGACGTCGTGTACCTGCAGAACCCCTTCGACCACCTGTGGCGCGACGCGGACATCGAGGGCACCACCGACGGGTGGGACGACGGGTCTGCGTACGGGTGGCTCGAGCAGCTCGACGACCCGAGCCTCGGCGCGTACGGACGCTTCCGTCCAGCGATGCGCATCACAGCGTGGAACTCAGAAGCCGAACACGTATTCTTGTGTTCAACCAGCGCTCGAGAGGACGCGCGTTCCGTCGTAACCGACCGTATCCGGCCGTGTCCGGCTGTATTCGGCTGCATTCGTGTCCCTCGTCCTCACACGGTGCTCTGACTCTGCAATGCCGCATTCACGGCGTAGGCGTGGAACTCGGGCCTCTGGTATGCAGCCGCAACACATGCATCGCTGCGGCTGATGACCATCCTTGCGTACCGGATGGAGCACGAGCCTAACACGTGGGACCAAGCGGCGTTTGGCGAGGAGGTGGCGCGGCCCGCGCGCGACGGCCACCATGCCGCCGGGATCGTCAAGCGCGCACTCAGCTACTGGTGCTTTGCAAACTCAAAGACGGTCTTCCGGCGGCTCCGCGCCGAGGCGGGGTCGACACACAGACCGGTCGTGGTGCACGCAAACTACCACCAGCCGAAGCAGCCGCGGATGGACGCCGTGTACGACCGGTGGCACCTCGGCCAGGCCGACGCGCTCGGGCGCTTCAGCACCGAGCCGACAGCCGTCGTCCCCGCGCCAGAGCTGGAGGTCAACTCGCTCCACTCGATCAACGACGGGTTTGTCTCTGGCTCCGACACGCGCAACGCCCTCGCCGCGGTCAAGGGGGGCGGGTGCCGGCCGCAGCCGTCGCTCCACGGCGTGCGGGTCTCGGTCGCCGTCCTTCCGGTCAAGGCGTGCGCCCCGGCCGACGCCGTCTGCAGCGCGGCGAGCGACGTCGCCGTCCGGCGCGGCTCCTCGCCGCCGGAGCTGCTGCTGCTGGTGGTGGGTTCGTCGGAGGCGGAGCCGGCCAGGCTGTTCCTGCAGTCGGCCTCCGCCGCCGGGGTCAAGAACGTGCTCGTCGCGTGCGACGGCCTCGTGGCGGCGCTGCAGGGGCAGGGCGTGACGGTCGTCGACGCCTCCTCTGACGTGCCGGCCGATGCCTCAGCCGCGTCGCGGGTGGCGCGGCTGCGGTGGGCGCTGGTGCGGCGGCTGGTGGAGCACGGGTACGGCGTCCTCTCCGCCGCGGCGCCGACGCACTTCGTCTCCGACCCTTTCGACGCGCTGTACCGCGATGCCGACGTCGAGGCGATGACGGTCGGGTGGGATGACCCGTCGAGCTACGGGTACTCCCTCCCCCTACCTCTCTCCCCCTACCTCTCCCCGTATATCTCCCTCAGATCTGCTTCCCTTTGCTCTCCTGCTGCTCCATCTCCCGGAATCTCCCGGAATTTTCCCCCCCCCCCCCCCACACGAGGTACAACCACGTCATCGACGACCCCTCGATGGGCTTCACGCGCTTCTGCCACGGCTCGCGCACCGTGCGGGTACGAGCCGACCCTCCTCTCCGTTAGCTATGCACGACTGGCGACTGACTGAGCAGGCTCGCGCATCGTGGGGTACGAGCCGCGCCTCTTCTTCGCGATGCCGACGGCGGAGAGCGAAAGGCTCGCGCGCCGCATGGGGGAGCGGCTCGGCACCGCCGGCTCGGAGGGAGCGGCGCGCGGCGGCGAGGCGGCCGGAGGCAGCGCGTATGACCGGGTGGCGCGGGACGGGCGCGAGGTGCTGCCCTTTGGTAGACGGCTCCTAGACCTCTCCTCGACCCCTCCTGTAGGTGGCGCGGGACGAGCGCGAGGCGTTCGTGCGCGAGCTGTGGCTGCCGTCGCGGAACGAGTACGCCCACCCGGGCGCTGTGCTGCGCGTGATGAACTATCTTTGCTTTGTCAACTCAAAGGTGGTGGCGCGGCAGTCTCGGGTCCTCTCGTGCCCTCTCGTGCACTCTCGGGCACTCTCGGGTCCTGTCGGGCACTCTCGGGCGATCTCGGGTCCTCTTCGGGTCAGGTGCTGGCGCGGCAAGGCCAGCGCGTGCTCGCCTCGCACAAGCCGGTGCTCGTGCACATTGACTACCACGCAGACGTCGTGCCCCGCCTCCGGGCGGCCGCGGGCTTCCTCGCGGGCCAGGCCGACGCGCTGCGCCAGCTCACCGCCGCCGACACCACCACGCATGCCGCCGCGCGCCCGCCGTGCGCCGGCGCGAGAGAGTGGAACGGCGCGGACGAGGCGGCACCCGCGGTGCGCGCGGCGGTCGAGCGGTCGCCGTGGTCGTGGGGGGGCGTGCCCGGCTTCGTGTTTGAGGCGGGTGGGCGCCTCTCGACGCCCTGGGGGCCCGGGCAGTGGGGGCTGCACCGCGGCTTCGAGGCGGCGCTCTTTGCAGACTTCATCGGCACGGCGCACAACATCGAGCTCTCGGCCGGCATCGCCGTGGCCACGCGCTGCGCCGACGACAACATCGTGCTGATGCGCTCCGTCAAGGGGCTCGACTTGCCAAAGTGAAGCAGCCGCGAATCCAGCGCGGCGCGGTCTGAGGCCATGGATGGTTGTAGTGTGCACGTGGAACCGCCGGTGGGGCGCGCGGCGCCACCACGGCGCACCCCAGCGCGCGGGACGCGGTACGTCGCGGAGCGCGGACGAGCGGACGAGGTGAGTGGACTCTCTGTCGTGTGGTCAAGAGTGGTGTACGAAGAAACAAAACAAAGCGGCGGATCGAGAGACGCCAGACGCCGGGACGTCGAAGCGCTCGAGCGAACAGGCGCGGAGGTCACCGTATCCCACGTATCAAGACGAGATGAATTTGCAGTCCATGGCAGAGAGAGACGGGGCGAGAGAGGAAGCGAGAGCACGGCGCCCGCCACGGCGGCACGGCCGAGTCCTCAGGCTCCGCAGGACCGTCGCACAAGCGGCGCACACACATGGCGGCGGACATGGCGCAGGAAAAGGCGTGGTGCTAGGGCCGGTGTAGACGGAGGGGCCGGCGGCAAGCTGCGCCGTCGTGCCCAGACTCGCAGACCCGGCGGAGAGGAGTCGAGAGGAGTCGAGAGGAGTCGAGAGGAGTCGAGATCGCCCGAGATCGCCCGAGATCGGCCCGAGATCGGCCCGAGATCGCCCGACATCAGTAGACCTGGTGGTCGCCCCAAGTGCGGCCCCGCATCTCCTGCTTGTTCGCCGTCGCCTGCACTCGGCGGCGTGTGTGTTTGTGTGTGTGTGTGTGTGTTTGGGGGGGGGGGGGATTGGGATGGGTGGTGGTGGTGGGGTGGGGGGGAGCTACAGGAGACCTCTCGGCTGTCTCTCGTCCACATTTCGCTGCTTCCTCCCGCTGCTACCTCCCCCTTCCCCCTCCTCTGCGTTCCGTCGCCCCTCCCTCTCGCGTGCATCCCTCCGCTGGCTCGCCTGCACGGAGATCTCGGCGGCGGTCGCCGGCGGCGTCCATGCCGGCGCGTCGAGCACGCCGCCCGGCGCTACCTGCAGGTGGAGATTGTATCTCGGAGATTGCATCTCGCTAGAGCACGCCGCCCGGCGCTACGTGCAGGTGGCGCGGCAGCAGCTGGGTTCGGGTTCCGTGGGGGGAGGGGGGAGGGGCAGGAGTCGTAGCGGTATAGCAGTAGCAGTAGTGCAGCCGCAGTAGGGAGGCAGTAGTGCTGCAGTAGTGAGAGGAGAGGCAGGGAGTGGCTAGTCTACCGGCGCAGCCTGCACCGCCACCGCCGTCACCGCCTTGGCCGCCGCACCCCAAGCTGGCACGTCGAGCTTTGCGAGCCTGCGGCAGGGACAGACCGAGGTCACGAGGGGAAGGGGGGGGGGGTGACGTGGGAGGTGAA